GGGGGGGGGTTGCCTCCCCCTCCCCTGGCTGCATGCCCATTAGCTGGGAGCGTATAAGTGACCCTAACATTAAAGAAGTAAGGGCGCCTGGAAGGGAAGTTAGGGTGGGGGTGGGGGGCGATGGTTCTCTCAATGACCATGAGGGGTAGGGAGTGGGGTCGGGGTGGCAGGGACTCCTCGGAGTCGCACCCGGCCTGGCGGGGGTCGGAGTGGGGGTGGGGGAACTATTGATCGCGATATATACTCGGGTATATACGAGAAAAGAAGAATGCTGTGGGGCGTGTGTGTTGGGGGGGGGGGGGTGCGGTGGTTGGAAAAGCGCCTCGTCTGCCATTTCCAGGGAGAACTAACACAGTGAATAGTTAGGATCAGTATTTAGAATAAACTGCCTCGTCAAGTTTTAAAGAAACTTTGTATGAATAAGTTTGTTAAAAGCCAGCCGAGTTGGGTATTTAAAACAGCGGTTTATGGAGGAGGCTGGTGTGCGGCGACAATCAGCGGTGGTAGGCAGGGAAGCCGGTGGAGCCCTGCAATTAGGGACCGGAGAGACCCAGCCTTTTAGCCGAGAATGTGGGTCTGTAAGTCAGCTCCATTTATTATCCGCGTTAATAAGCTCTCCGCAGCAGACCGGGATCAGACCGGGAGCTTCTGGGGTGTGTGTCTGCATTTTACTCATGCTGCTGGCTTACTGATAAAGAATTACTTGGTCTCCGGGTGTGCAAAGATCAACTTGCTCAGCCCTCTTTTTAAATATATTCATTCTGTGCCTTATTTAATCCAGATGCACAAAAAGCCATTTGCTGCTTCATTGTTGGTTTACATTTTTTGAAAAGGCGACCGGTGTAACCTGTGGAATTTGAAATGCAAATAGAAGCCTGTGGGAGTTGAGGCAGAACAAATCAGCATTTATAAAGTGAAAAAGATTTAATGTCTTTGAAATCATTGCAGAGGAAAAAAACTGGAGGGGGGGGTGATTTTTCAGGGAGTGAATTGTGACGTCAGGTCTTTTTGGAAAAGATGTTATTTTTAAGGTCTGAAACCCGGGTATGTAAAGTGCTTACAGGAAAAACAGATTACAAGATTAACATCTGTTAACATGATCGTTTATCTCCAGCCAAAAATAGGTCAGTTCTTTCTTAAGGAAACACGATTGCTGGCGCATGCTTAAATAATAAAATTAAAATAATGAGTGCATCAATGAGGGCCGGCATTTGTTATAATCTGATCTGTGAAAAACATTTTTGAATTTCGAGATCAGTAGAGGTCAAAATCTCTTTTGGGCGTTGAGAACAACTCTTCACTCTGCGTCCACCCCCCGGATGACCCCCTCCTCCTTACTCCTCGCTCCCTCTCCGCCCCCATCCCGGACTGCTAATTTCCCTTTTCATCCATTGTGGAAGTACAAAATATATTTAAATGGATATTGTCTGACGCCCCCGTCGTTAAAGAAAGCAAACTCTCCGCGCAGATGGCTAACTTTCAGGGCTCTGCTGTTGTTTTACCATTAAATGAAACGGTAGGGAGGGAAGGAAAAAAAAAAAAAAAAAAAAAAAAGGAAACAGCCTTGCAAAGTCTCCCTGCCCCCTGGGTATGAGTGACGGCCCTGCCGGCCAATCCGGAGCGGCTTTCTCCATCCCGGAGGTAATTTGGGGTGTGAGTGTGTGTGTGTGCGCGCGCGCGCGCGCGTGCATGCGCCCATGTGTATGCACACTGTTAAGTGCGACCAGCCCCGCGCATCCGCAGGCTCCTGATGTGCACAGCTCTGTGCTGTAGACGTGGACACGCTTGCATCTGAGTCTGGACAGCTAGATGGGCGCGCAGCAGTCCAAAAGGAGACCCTGCCCCCTCTGCCCTCCTGCAAAGAATGGGCGGTAAGAGGCGCTTTCGGATTCAAGTCGAAACCTGCAAATGGGGAAGAAAAGAGGAGTGATATGATTATGCTTCTCAGCAACCGGGGACTCGAAATGTACGGTTCCTTCCGTCTCGTTCCCACGCGACGGGCGCGCCCTCGCGCGCCCGGGGTCCGGAGTCCACTCGCCTGGCGCAGAACGTACAGAAAAGTGGGATTATGGAAATTGGTGTGAATTGCGTAGAAAAGTGAAGGACAGCGTGTACCTTACAACTTCGTATTTTATTGTCTCCCTGGAAGTTCATACTTAGTCCATGGCAAATTCTAGAATGTGACCCACTCACGGTCAGTGAAAAGTTCTGCTGCCCACCCGACTTGTGAGCGCGGAGCGCCTGCCGGGTCTCCACCGCACAATGGGCACATTCACGGGCGCAGTGCGTCACGGGCCGCCCCACGTTTCGAATCAGCTTAATCCGGCACCAACTTCCCCCGGAATACTGGTAGTGATGTGTGGAAGTGTACGGACCAGACCTGGTCCTGTAGCATCTCTCCATCCGTGTCGCAGATGCTGTGCCGCTTCATTCCGGGGTGGATGATGCAGCTGCATCGGACGGGTTAAGGACCCACGTGTGACCCCTCCTTCCCCGGAGACCCCTTCAGGGAGGCCCCTGGGAGGGACTCCGCGCCCCGCCCTCGTCCGAGTACGGGGTGCCCGGCGGCGGGGCCGCACCGAGGTTACTCCAGGGGTCCATGGGCGACCCCAGGCCGCCTTCGTCGTACCCCTGCAAGAACCCAACTCAGTTACAAGGTAGCGCTCGGCCCCGCGCTTCCTGCTCCGGCCATTTTCGGCCCCCAAAACCTGAGTTCGATCCGATTCAGCCCCCCCCCCCCCCCCTCCTCCTCTGAACTCGCGGATTGAGAAATGGGCAGCAGGGGGGACGTGTCTCCGGATTAAATCGTTCCTATTTCTGTATCCTGGCGTGCGGCCTTGGGCCCGGGGCGCCGCTGGGGGAGGCGGGGCGGGGGCGGGGCGGGGGCGGGGGGATTTACCTGCCCGCCCCGGGGGCGGGGGCGGTGGCCGCTTGTTGCTGGGCTGCCAGGGGGCGGGCTGTGGGCGGGGCGGGCAGGGCAGCGAGGTGGGGGAGGGCCCGGCCCGCGCCCCCGCCCCCCGGCGCCCGCCCCCCGCCCCCGTCATGTGGAGCGGACGTCACTCGCCTGCACTGTAACCCAAGAAGTGAAAGAGACGGGGACCCACGGCCCAACTTCGCACCGTAACAAAGGCGGGGGTCCGTGCGGGCCGGAGAGGGACGAGCTGGGGAGGGAGCGGGCTGGGGGTGAGGGGGCCAAGGAGGTGGGGCAGCCGGGCGGGGAGTGGGGGGAACTGGGACGGGGTGGGGGGGGGGTTCTGCGCAGGGCGGGGAGCGGGGGTCTCTGCTGGGCCAGACGGTCGGGGTCTCCGCGGGTGGGGCGGGTAGTGAGGTCTGGCTGGGGTCGGGGGGGGGGTGGTCTCCGCGGGGCTGGGGTGGGGGGGGGCCTTGCAGGGGCCGAGGTCTGCGTGGTGCCGGGGCCGGGGCCGGGAGTGGGCGGGGGGGGGGGTCTGGCCGGGTCCGGGGTGTCTCCGCGCGGGCGGGGGGCGGGGGTCTGCGCGGCGGCGCGGGCCGCGCTCCGGGGGCCGAGGCGAGGCTGAGGCCGAGGCCAGGTAATTGGTTTCTATTTTAAACTTCACTTTGTTCTGGCGGAGGTGGGGCGGTGGGAAAGGCGTGGCCCCCGAGGACGATTACATAAGTATTCACACCTGATTCGGTCCCGGCCGGGGCTCCGCGCGCGGCTGCGGGTGGGCGGCGCGGGGGCACCGGCCGCCGTCCCCGCGAAGGGCTGCCGCGCGTGGGTGTGGCGCCCTGCCTGCGTGGCCTCTTCCCGTCCGGGCGGCGAGCAGCCCGCGTAGACGCGGGGGCCTGTTCCTGGAAGCCCAGATGTGCCCGAGGGCGTGGGGCCGGCCTGCCGGCGGGGTCCTCTGCGTAACAAAGGGCAGGGGCTTCGGGACCCTACTGCAAGTCACAAAAGGAACTTTGGACGGTGGTCTTAATTAAACAGGCGGGGGGGGGGGAGGCATTTCCCTCGTGAACCTGCCATTAAGTCTGCAATCCTGGTTAAAGATGATTTAAAAACTGGTGGCCCTCCATCCTGTGGCTGTGTAATAAAATGCCGTTAAAGTACTGACCCCAGTGGAAGCGAGGCTGGATCTTCCCCCAGCAGGATCCTCTCCAGATTATTTTTTAAGCCGCCCTATTAATATGATTGGAGTATTTTGGTTTAGGAATGTAAGAGCTACTTTAAGGAACTAGGCATGCATGCTATTTGATAGGAAACTTTCTGCTGCCGCGTAAAAAAGCTCACTTTATCATTTGTTTGTGCCTCCTTCACTTTCTCTTACATTCTTTGATTGTGGCGTCAAAATAGCTGTGCTATTTATGTTTACACAGACCCGCTAGAATTAAATATACCACATGCCTCTGCTCTGCATGATTCCGAGCTTCCTTCTCCTGGTAAAATTGGGGAGCGAGTTTGAGCGAGCTGGCCTGGAGCCTGGGGTTGGCAGCGGGTTACCGGAGGAGGACATCTTTAGTTTCACTAGGCCTTGCAAGAAGGGGCCCTGAGCAAGCCTGGAGGAGTTAGAATTAATTCTGATGGCATTAGAATTTTCATGTGCCGAGATGCAAGCATATCAGTCTAGTATTTTTCTTAGTTCTTTAGTAGGACTTTGTTTTCTTAAATTAGCTAATTTGAATATGCTGAAACAGAGAGCATTAACATTCTTAAAAAAAAAAAAAACAAAATCCCAAGGGATGTGTAATAAAACTAACCCAGAGCAGTGGCACTGCCCCTCTCGAAACAAAGCAGCCCGTTGGTAGGTACAGGGTTCAGCAGTGGAGAGCGAGAGGGGTGTTGCTTATTTTTATTTCTGAAAGCTTTTGTTAAGAATCATCTTCCAAACTGGCTTGGTGTGCTGCAAAACGCACCCGATCAAGAACGTGTAACTATGGGTTGTGTAACTGATATTAGTCGCTGAGGAGTATACTTTACATCATTGGTGTTAATCCCACCGTGATTTGTAAACAACCTTTAAAGTTGACTGGCTAATGTAGAGATTGAAGTTTTCCTGGGACTGTGACGTCCTGCGTGTCTAACTCTGTAAGATGATGTCTGTCCCAGAGGCCATCGTGGAGGGAAGACAATGAGAGAGGTTTTTGAAAGCTGGTCCATGCTAAACAGCGTGTTGTTTCCATTACCATAAATTGAACTTTACCTTCCTTTACCTTCCTTGCTCCTGTGTGGGTAATGTCTGAGTGTTCATAGGTGGAGCGTTTGATGTGAGAGTTGTTGAGCCACAGTTACGTGAGAAAGCAAAGAGACTTCGTTAGAGACTGCTTCAGAACGCGGTATGCTGTAACAGATGGTTTTCAGTCTTACCAAATAGGGAAAAGGGCTAATGTGACCTAGGAAGTTAAGTAGAATTTAGTCCTGGATTGTTCTTGAAACAGCAGCGCTCCGTTTAATGGGTTGTTGTGGATTTTTATGCATTCATTTTCCAGGATACGTATGGGTCTTACTTGTAATCTGCCAGAAGGAATCTTTTAAACAGGCTCTTTGTGGGAGTGGCTGTAAGTCTGACTGAAGGTTGTGTGTAGAGTTTCAAGTGCATTATACCTTAATGTGGTAGGGATAGGAAACTAGAGTACGAGCTGGTTACTTTCACCGGGAAGGAGCTTGTCCAAAGGCGTGCACTTTCCTCTGACACCGTGCTTGTTTTAAATGCTTGAGACGTTACACTATTTTGGGTTTTGTTCCATTTTCAACCTTGGAGAACAGGGCAAGTGTTAACTATATAATTAAAAGTGGTATTTTGTCTGTAACTAGATTGCTACCTGAATAAAGCATCAGGATTAAAGGTATAGGAAACAAGGCTTTTTCGTCGGTGTCTGAAGACCATATTTAGCTAGAGACATCCGAACTTTCTCAAGGGCACAGATTAAAGCAGAAGTAAGAGAAATAATGGAGGGAAGCAAAAGAAAGTTACATTTATTTGATTACATATCTGCATTATAAATATTTGAACGTAGAAGTAACATTCCTTCTTCAAAAGCAGACATCTTACTTGCTGTAAATGTTTATACATTTTAGTGCTTGGATAGAGCCGTTCTGTTCTGTCATAATCAAGCAGTTTTTTCAGAAATGCATCTCTCGGCTGCCCTTCCCCCCACCCTCAGAAGTTCCAGGGGCTGTGGGAAAAGTTGAATTAGCTCGCATCTTACCGCCTGTAGCCCAGAGAAAGCTGGGGGCCTGGCAGCACACGTGCAGAGCTGAGGGTGTGCTGTCCGACACTCACACTCCTGCCTTGTACTTGAACCCGCTGCTGAACTAGCACCCAGCACTTAGACCTTCTGTGGATTGCTTACCACTTGGCACCTTTGACCCTTGTTTCCAGAATTGGTAATGTCTACACGTGACAAGTAACTGGGTTACTGTCTTGGGCTCCATGTCTACACGTGACGAGTAACTGGGTTACTGTCTTGGGCTCCCAGACTGTTACTCTGTTGATAGGAAACTACTTGTCTTTGGGTTTGCATTTTTCAGGTGACTTGGAGAGTCAGGAGGTGGGCGGCTCTGAGGTCTGATGAGGTGCTGGTTGGACTACGTCTCCAAGTATGTTATGGAGATGGGTAGCAGGATGGAGCTTCTGGAAGGCAGGTGTAAATGTAGACTGCAGATAGGTATCCATGGGCTGCCACTCAGTTTGCCCAGGAATTAGGGTAGCAGCAATTATCCGACTCGTGATGTGTGTTTGGCTTGGTGCTAACTGGAGGCATGAGCTAACTAACTGGTGTGACCGTGACCCTCTTCTCCCTCCTGTCCTGTCCTTCCTCCGGGGCTGTCCGGCCGTTGGCCAACGGCCAACAGTGTGTTGGCAGCAGCCTGTTAAGGGTCTGAATGTGTCTCCGGGAGAGTGACAGCGGTTTTCAGATTCAAGCCTTCGCCTTGGTTCTCACCAGTACCAGAAACATGTGAGTTTGGGTTGGGAGAGGTAGGACATTTCTCGTTGATGGAGGGGCGACCTCTGCCCCCGGGTGGGTTGAGAACTCCCCAACCTTTCTTACCAGAGTAGAGAGCCTGAGTCATGGGGGGAGGGGCATCCTCTCTATCCTTGGACTCTGGCCGTGACTGTCTTACAGTTTTCAGGAATATTGGTGAATTTCAGGAAATTGGTGAAACCCATTTTAAGGAAGGAAGCACATCAAATGTTTATTTGTGAAGAATTTATTAATACAATTAACCTTACGGGAAGAATAAAGAAAAACTTCCGCTATGAATTTAAAATGTCTCCTCCAGGTCTTTAAAATGCATGTTTATTTTAAAATTAATTTTCTTCGAAAGAGGACTGTTTTAGGGGTTATGACTTTAATAGCCATGGGCGTTGCTTGTGTTTGAAATTTATACTGCCCGCTAAGGTATATTAAGGATGTCTTAGATGGACTGGTAAAAATTAGCAGTTGCAACTAATGGCCTTGCATCTTGCTACACGGGATTGGAACAGCTGAAGCTTTTCTTTCCAAAGCTAGAGCTGGCTGTCATATTTATGTCCAGAATGAGATGTTTTCCAGCAGCGTCCATTCGGATTGTAAAGAAGTGTAATTTTGTGGCTCTCAGCCTTCCTTAAAAGTAGTTCTCCAAAAAGATCTGGCATTTATTCTTCATTTCCAGCGGTAGTGAAAATTACACAGCAGGAGTAATTAGAAATGCGACTATTTTGAGAATGTCACCATGTAAATATATATAAAGTAATGAACAAACCACCACACAAGAGACTAGAAAAAAAATAAATCATTTAGAAACGGACATTGGGTTTAGATACATGTTACTGTTTATTTCAAATAGGAGTTCATTCTGGTAGATTTTCTTTCTGTGTGTGTGCGTGTGCGTGTGTGTGTGCGTGTGTGTGTGTGTGTATTTGGTCAGGAATTTAATCAAGTTGTTTTGTTCTTGAAATTTCAGGGATAGGGATTCTGTGTGGTTGTGAAGTTCGGACAGTTTCTGAGTGGAGTGCTGAACGCAGGTTGAGGTATTCATGTATTTTGTTTTCAAGACAAAATTCATCTGGTGTGTTATTCCTTGAAGAGCAGGTAGTCTGGTCTCTTGCAGATCTGGCGCCCCGGGGAATTGCTGATGTCAGCTCGGCCTTTGGATACAGCTGTCCTGTTATTTTCTTGCTTATTTAAGGGATGGTGAG